AAAAAAATCTTTACACGCGTGGAATGCGCGACATCATATGATGTCGTTCTTAAATTTGTCCTTACTTTTAACGTCATATGACGTCCCTAGATTACATTAGATCATGCAGGAACGAAGGCTGTCTCCTTATAAAGGTGGTGACCAAAAATCATGTAAATAGAACAACAATTTATATTTTTAATATAATATTAAAAAAAACCTTACACGCGTGGAATCCGCGACATCATATGATGACGTTCGTCCGATAAAGGTTAAGTATCTCAGCATAGTTCATGACCCAGCTTAGATTGAAACCAAGCACAATCAGAATACAAGTCTGAAGCATTGTTACCTCCTGAGCCAACTTTCCTACTAAGGATCATTGTGATGTGATCAAGGTTGACAGAGAAATTTGGTGATGGATGAAGTCATGGGTTTTGTACTTAGTGGAATGACCAAATCAAAGAGAATGAGATGGGTGGGGCATGCAGCACACTTGGGAAATGTGACAGATCAGAAAGACTGAAGGGAAGAAACCATTTGGAAGATGTGGGCATAAGTAGGAGGATAATATTAAGATGGATTTTAAGGGGATAAGGTGGAAGGATGTTGTCAGAATTCATCTTGCTTAGGATAGGATATATAAGAATGGTAGGCTGTTATGAATATGGCGATGAACCTTCAGGTTCCTTAAGAGACAAAGAATTCCTGGAATAGCTTCTCAAGAAGGATTTTGCTTCATGGAGGTAGTTCATTGTGAAATAATTGTCAGAAGAAAGAAGTGGGAGTAACTAGTTAAATCAGTATTAGTCTTGGGGGTCCAGTTCCGATACCCAGGTGCACTGATAAGGTAAAAGAGTAGAAAGAAGAATTCATGCATAGATTCCTCGTTTAAATAATGACACTTTTTCAACTACGTATTATGATAGTGTCACTCGTAGGAGGAAAATGAATTGGGAAAAATGTGAAAGGAAGCAGTTGTAACCTACTTTGTAGGTACTGTCCAAGCATTTAATTGGAGCAATGGCAGGAAACCATGAGAAACCTCTTTTAGAATAGCTTATATCAGGCTGAAATTCTCATCTGGCTTACAGTAAGTGTGAACCTGTGAGCATGTAAACAATATTCATTAATGGCTCCTGTCATCCCTACATAGCCAGTCCACACCACATTGATTCATGGTGACCATAAATGTAACAGCACAATTCAAGCACTGTCTCTGCATCTTACTGTCTGGGAACAGAGAACTTGGCATAATGTGGCATGACTTGGCTGTACTTTTCCACATTGTGGCCAACTTACTGGAAATCAGCTGCACAAAATTACAAGAATTTTGCTTCTGGCCCAGCACTGTTCTCTGCTTGTGCCTTTCCAAATATAAAGCAGGAGTGCTAAACACTAAGCTTCAGTGTTTCATTGGGAGTGTTCTGGCACCAATAGTGATTTGGCCATATTACCTTGGTACTGCAACTCCTGTGTGCAAGCCAAGGTAATAAAGAAACAAGAGGAGACAATCTT